CATTCTAGACAAAACAATGACATCTTCATGGAGAAAAGCACCCCGTCACTAGAAAACTTACACAATGCACTAGGGATGTAGCAATAACTGAAATATCGTGATCTCGTATCAACAAAGTTCTCACAATAATATCGTGGACTATCACAATATATCGAATTACAAGTCTCTTTGCTTAAATTAAGAGTTTTGGTGCAGCAATAGTTAAAAAAAGACAGAGGGAGCTACATAGACCATGATCCTTTGCTCCAGTTCAGCATGGACTACAAGACAGTTAATATAAGAGTTCTAAGCACTTTTAAGTCCTAGTTCTTTGGATTAAGTCTTATCAAGGCATTTTAAGAGGAGGAAGTAGCATATTAACAGTTTTGATAGCCTCCACAAAATATCGCAATAAATATCATACCGTGAGATGCATATCTTGAAAATATCGTACCGAGTGGATATTGTTACATCCGTAATCATGAGCCTCCCCATGATATCGCAATAAATATCGTACTGTGAGGTTCATACTGTGAGCTCAACCAAACAGTAGTCCAAAGGAGTATACTGTAACATAAGATTTGTAGAAAATAGTAGACAAAAGTGAATGAATAATCAGAGTTTTGTATGTTTTTTTTTATGTTTGTCTGTTATGTATTGAGCATTGCACCATTGTTTGTGGCAGCAACCAAATATGTCCCTGAACAAATTTTCAGCATCATATAGAAAGTCTATTATGGACGTATTCAGAGAGCTCAGTGTCTGAATTCAATAAGGTGAAAACACATTTGCATTTGGACACAAAATCCATGAAAATGATTTTGAATATAAACATTATCTAATGCAAATGCTCCCCACTCTATAGCAAGAGTGTGAATTGTAAAATTGGCCTGCCTTACATCTTAAAAGGCTAAAATAATATATTAGATCTACTTATTGAATACAAATTGTGGTGTGTGCGTTGTATAAATAGTTTGAATTGAAAAACAACAAATGTTCGTAATTAACAAAATGTTAATTTGTTATTATTACATTCAATTAATTTATTAAAAAACATGCTTGAAATCTTTATGTACTTAATAAAATATCAATTATCCAGATTATAATTTGATCCTTTATTTTAAAGGTACAATAACTTATCTATCTGTCTTCCTTGAGATGCTTTACCATCTGCCTGGAATGTTCCACAGTAAGGCATTAAATGTATCTATCACTATGGAAACAATTAGGTGATGCTGCCAGGCCATGTTGTGGGGTGAGATCTGTGGAGAATGGATCCCGCTAATAGTTCAGAGTATTCCTGAGTAATAAAACACCTGTAATTGAATAAATGTAGGATAGAAGTTTAATGCCATACTGTGGAACATCGTGGGCAACGCAATAAAATCTCCATGGAGACACGCAGACCCTCCAGAAAAGTTACACACTGCACCTTTAAAATTGTGGTATAGCGAACTGACATCTTCAAAACTTATTTTTTGCCTGTCCAAGGTCTCATCTTTAAAAAACTAATTTCTCAGAAATGTTCTCACTTTGCACAGTCCTCAGCACTTCTTTTGTCTACAACTTTTCTCAAATCAGCCGTCACTCTCCAAACTCAACCAAAAGCCAAATCATCTTATCTACCTTTCATCTTGCAGTGTCTCATCGCCGTCACATTTATTTGAGATTAAAGTAGGACTGTGTCTCTCTGCGCGTTAATTGCCATAGAGCTTCAGTAATTAAAGGACAATAAAGCCTTAGTAGTAATTAGTTTCTCTTGTTTGGTTGCTAGCCCATCAATTGTGCTTCAATAATACTGATCATTAGCATGCGCCTGGGCAGTGAGGGATGCTGGGAAAGGAGCCCTGCACACACAGCACTCCACATTCCATTCCCATGAAGCCATGGCACAGGGCCACCAGTTAACCCTGTGAGCGCTGGGCAGGAGAGAGAGAGAGAGAGAGGGAGAGAGATAGGGAGAGGCAAAGAGAGAAAGGATGACAGGGAGGAGAGTTAGGGAAAGAGAGGAATTAGGAAAGACAGAGAGGCAGAGAGAAAGAGCAGGAGAGAGAGAGGAGTTAGGCAGGGAGAGAGAGCATGAGAGAGAGAGAGAGAGAGGAGGGCAGGAGGGATGGGAGGCAGAAGAAGGTGAGAGAAAGAACAGGAGAGAGGGACAGACAAAGTATGGAGAGAGACAGGGAGAAAGTGGGAGGCAGGAGAGAGAGACCAGGAGAGGGAAGAGAGCAGGAGAGAGTGGGGGCAGAAGAGGAAGAGAGATATAATGAAAAAAGAGAGAAATTGTTAAGAGAGGGAAAGTCAGGAGAACAAGACAAAAGAAAAAGGGATGGGGAAGAGAGATGAGAAAGAAGACAGTAAATGTTGGCAAAAGAGAGAGAGAGAGAGGGAGAGAGAAGGACAGAGTAGAGAAAGGGAGGAAACGGGGGAAATGGCAGGAGAAGAGCAGGTGAGGGGCAGACAGTGGACCAAGGGAGCAGGATGAAATGGTGAGGACAAGTATAATCCTGCTATCATGTTCAGTTAAATTTTATATTGTTTTATAAAAACATAGTTTTAAGGACCTTTAATGTAACTTTAGTGTCAATTATGTTCAAAGCTAAAATAAACCAACTGAAGAGATTCTCTTATTAATCCTCCCCTTGGCTGGTTAGGATCACCTTTGCGCTAGACCCTGACCTGTATTCTATATGAGCTTTTTGAATTAGTGAATTGGGCCTAAAAGAAATGTAAAGTTTTGAAAATGCTCCACCCATGGCCTTTGACTTGCAGTAATGGTAGTTTTGGTTTCTTTTTTATCATGTGTAGGAGTCTCAACAAAAAGATGATTTCTTCTCATCTCACTGTACAAATTCAGAGTAAGAGTTTGACAGAGTACTTCGCTTGTTGATTGTGCTGAAATCTGTGCTGTTTCTCCATGCCATGTTTGTTTTGACACAAATGCACCACTAGTTTCTCTGACTGGTTAATCCACCTGTCAATCACACCCATCAGAAATTGTAGAGACAGGATACTGTTCCTGAGCATAGACTATATAAATAAGTGGACGAAGCAGGTGTGATATCACCCATAGTGTTCAGCACCACTCAAATGAAGCCCGCGATCTCTATGTTACGAATGGGATTTTTTTGATGGACAAAATAGCGAAAAGAAAAACACCAGGATCATGTAGAGAGGGTTAATAGAAACATTTTAAGACCAAAATGACGAAGGCTAACAGCTGCAGTCTCAGAGAGCGGGGCGACAATATTCTAATGTAAGTCAATGGGAGCTAGGCTCAGTAGGAGCCAGAAGAGCTGTATAGGAACTTCCTATTTGGAATGTGGTGGCTAGGACATTAGCTATGTCCATTTATAAATACAGTCTAAGCTCCTGACCCAGATATATTTTTTATTGTATTTTATTGTAAAAGTGTGTGGTCTTGGTTTCCCCATTGTTTTTTTTCCTCCTTGTTTTTTAGTGCATCAATGCCAAGCACTTCAAAGTACTTCCTAAACTAAACTCTCCTTTTGGTCAACATAATATATTGAGATTGTATAAATAATTTGCAGCTTTTTGCGATTGTAAATGGCAACAAGCTGAGAAGCCCAGAGCAGCAGCAGCAGCAGAAGCAGTGGGCTGATGCTTCTGTCATATAGTTTGTGCGAAACAATTGCACCCTTCTCCAGCTAACATGCTCCTTTATTCTTCTAATGAAAGCCTGTCTGCAGGGCTGTTAAAGAGTGATAACAAGGAAATATCACCACTCTTTAGAGCCATAGGGCGTCCCAGAAACAGATCAAATTAGGTGCCTTGGAAATAAGAGCTGCACCATTTGAATAAAGGAAAACTGGAGTGTAGACAGGGGCTATGGATCGCGCCGTAAACTGTGGCATAGCAATAACGCAGGCCTGCAGAAAATGTGCTCTCTTCTGTACTTTGCCTTGACATGATTGAAAGACAATGGTCCCATGGATAGGCCATTTCAACATCAAATGTGCATGCACATCACAGGGCAGGCCCATGCCATCCATCACATTCAGAGAGCTGTCAGGCAGCCCCTCTCACCCCCCACACACACTCACATGTGCAGCTGCATGGCACCCAAGATTAAACCACAGAATGCATATTCCACCACTGCATCCTGCACTGTAATGTCTGCCAGGTTATGTCGGCTTATGTTGCTTAAATCAAACATAGGCAGTACTTTACTGTTAAAGTATGGTGCGTTTGCAAACTTTTCTGTTGGAGGGTCAGCCACCTGCAGGTTATTGCTTTACTTCAAATTTTTCACTGTATGGTATTAAACCAATCTATCTCCATGGAGACAAGCAGGTGACAGATCAAGCCAAAGTTACAGGTCAGATTTGCGGAGGAGCACCCTGCTCAAAGTAAGAATTCATATTTTTAACATGTATTTTAAAATGCATGTAAAAAGTATAAATGTAAGATATGCTTAAAACTGTCAAAAATCCCTGACAATGCAGTTAGAGTAAAACAAGCAGTAGAGCATTGTACTGAAAAGTTACATAGTGCTCCTTTTCGCCAAGTTATTTTAATAATCAAAACTACAATATCATTACTATATTACTACTACTACTATAAAAACAACATAGCCAATAGGTCTTTTTTCTGAATAAAACTTTTAACTAACATATGGACCCTTTTTTTTCAATTCTATGCCAAATCATTATGCAAATCACAGAGACCCACAATAAAACGGAAAATAAAAAAAACTTAATCTCCTATTTTAAATGATAAAATCCTCCTCGTGCCATGCCAATTTGCCTGAAGATGTTTTACTCGTGACAGTAAAATGAGGGAAGTGCGAAGAGACAACTTGAGGGCATTGTGTCCTGGCCCGAGACGTGTCTTTGCATGACCAGGTGAACTCCGCACTGCACAACACGTCAGGTAGCCCAGCCATGCAAATAGCTCCAAATGCCGACTGTACGTACGCGTACGGGGAGCAGGGTGTGCGTGCCTCCTCCCGTACGCCTTGCCACAATAACCCAAATGCAGCCCTTTTACAGCGCTCTGATGCTAGCGGATTCATAATGCCCAGCCGTGCACACCGCTACATTTGCAGCTAATCAGGAGCGCGCAGTTGCAGAAAGGAGAGCGGTTGCCAAGGCAGCCACCAATCTCCCCTCCCCCTTTTCTGCCTCCGTTCCTCTTTCCCGTTTATTATCGGCAGAGGTCGCATGGCAGAGAGGGAAGTCCGCGCACTTCTGTATTGGAACCACTGCGAGAATATGCAGGTCCATGAGGAGTGCTGAGTTGTGCGCTTATCCCGCGTAAAACTACTGGAAAACACACGGATATCAATTTGGAAGGAGGCTTTTGTTTGTTTTGGTCCGCGGGAGAGTTTTGCCAGCACGTGCTTGTCTGGGCATTTGTGTTTGAGTGAGTGTTTGACAAATTGGCATCCTTGTCTCGCTCGCATCTCCAGAGTTGTTGGAAGTTCGGAGAGTGGATGTTGAGGAGAGAGCGCTCCGAGTAGCAGCAAGCTTTCTCCCCGCGGCTTGTTTGTCTAACTGTATTGAGTCCAGGGCGCGCGGAGAAGTGTGGTTTCATGCCTTCAGTGTCGCTCCGCCTGAGATGGACGTGAGGTTTTACCCTGCACCCCCGGCGAATGTGGGTTCATGCACTCTACCGACTGACCCAAGTTGTCTGAGCTCGTTGGACTATTACCACCCGAACAAGGTAAGGCGCTCCGCGAGTTGCCCCCGTGCACCGAAGCCCGTGGCCTCACCTGTCATTCTCTCTCTATGCTGTTCGTGCTGCTTTTACGCACCGTGCGCTTTGGCCATTTACTCCAACCGGACACTTTGGAGAAGCTGGCCAAAGTTAATGAGTTGAATTATGGATGATTTTGTAGGCTAATTGTTTGGACAGCGACACTTTCTCTAACAAACTAACTGCCACAAAGGCTTTCTTGCCTGGTTAAGTAATTACGCAGACATTTTTCTATAGAGCATGAATTTTTATTGTGAATCAAGCATTGCGATTAAAAGCATTGCTCATTAACGTGCTCAGTTTTAGTTAAGCGAACTTCAAAGTGACATGCTGTATGGACACAAAAGCCACATCTGTAATGTAAACAACATCACAAGTGCAAGTTCATTAACGTGGAGGTCTTGCAATGAAGGAAAACAATACAGTAACCTTGACAACAGTTCACTTCCAATCAAGTAATGTCAAACCATCTTGTGTGAAGTAAAAGCAGAGACAGAAATCAATACAGCTCGTAAAGTAAAGCATATCCATGAAGAGACATTGTGCAGTCAGAGTTAAAACCATTAGTGTTTCAAAGGGATTCTGAAATGAATAGCATTATACTGTATACTGTATTATACTGTATACACATAATACAGTATACAGACTTTATATAGAAACAAATATAGCTACGTTATTGACTTTTATTAGAATAAACACTGACAGCCTCTGTCCAGTGCAGCTTTAATAGTGAAACATGGCACAATTACTGTCCACTCCTCTATTTGCTCTGGCCTCTCTTTCTCTTCCAAATCTCCTACTTTCCCCTTGAACCTTTAACATGTCTGTCATTACTCCCCTTGTGATTTTGCGCAGTTGTGTTTTGCACAAAGCTGGCATTAGGTGTCCCACCCGATGTGGAATACCAGGGGCTGTATAGAATCCATACTGGCCCTGTGCTCTGCTCTGCTCTCCTAACATTATCTTCCCTCTCAATGATTTCTTATGGCTTACATGCCTCTCCTCGGGGAGTTCACCGATTAAATGGTTGTGTGCCAGTAATGTACCGTTAATTACTTTGTAACGAGAAACCGCACACACCGCTTGGCACAAGTCTTGCTCCTTTCTCTGTCTCTCTTTTAAGTTTTGATACCCCCAAGGCTTTTGGCTGGTGCCGGTCCCATTTGAGGTGGCATTTATAACTCCATTGAAAGTGAATGGCTGTCCAATTACACTAATAAGAGAGAGAGAAGAAAGGACAGCTCCTTGTAATCTTACAGTAAAGACCATAGGGACTCTGACTTTGTTCAAGAAGTTGTCTAATGTGAAATAAAAGCATGCTATGATGTATATAAAGTTGTTGGTTGCATCCTATCCATTGTAAAATTATCAGTCAGAAAGCAGATGTAAAGCTTATTAAAATGTTCATCTATACTAATATGAAATTTACTTTTAAGTTATTGGCACACACACAAATGCTTAATCATATCCACATGTCCAACACATATGGGCTTATAATGCAGTTTTGTCCACACACAAATTGAAGTACCTTTTTGCCTTGGCTGTGTTGCAAAAATATAGTTAAATGTGTCCCTGCCTACTCACACCTGTTAATGCTTATTTCTGTAACAGTGTTAGAAAATGGCCCCTTGATTCTATATTAGATTTCATCACAGAGCTGTGTTAAAATACAGTTTGGTTGTAGTAGAATAGAAATTGCAGTACTAAGTCAAGTAGCAGTTTTATAATGTACTCCAAAGTTGCTCGAGTTTTAGCTACTTTTGAATACAAATTTTGGATACCATTTCAAAAAGTGTCCTCATTTGACGGAAACCAATCTAAGTCAAATTGTACAGTAGTCCCCCAAATGCATTCACATAGTGTTTACAATTCATTGGTATTATATAGTTTACACACATAAGGCCTCATTTAGGGCTGAACATTTGTGTGTGTGTGTGTGTGTGTGTGATTTGTTTTAATGATACGATTCTCAGAGTTGCGTCAAATAGTGTGATGCTCAAAGTTGACATTTTAAACACATTCTGAAGATTTGACAAAAAGACTAAAATCTAAACTTTGAAGATAATACAAAAATCACATTTTGGAACAGTTTTGTACAGAACTAAACTTATTTTTTAATGCAAAAAAGATTTTTTTGTTGTTTGTGAATGATATTATGATACTTCATGAATTGCAGCAGCATTTATGATTTGATAATTGCAATTTCAACTAATCTTGCAGCCTTAGCCTCAACCAAGACTCTTATTTTAGCCTGAACAATTTTCCCAGCAGTAAAGTAGACAGAACAGACAACAGACAGCAATAGCCATGTTCTTCGTGGCCGGATCAGATAGTAGTGACTCACCTGGACAGGCTTAAGGATGAGAGAGCGGAGCACCTCTTGTAGTTTCTCCGATAAAATGGTTTGAAGTGCTTTGGCTGGTCTTTGCTCACAACAAGCATAACAGAAAAAATAAACCGTTGGGGATGTTTTTTATTCTCATTTGTGTGGGCACTGGAAAGTCTCTATAACTGAAACGAATCATTCCACAAAACTACATCAAAACTGTCCTATATGCCTGTATGAGTTTATTCTAATACAATGTGCACAGACCAATATGGCTAACCACAATATAACAAATGTATGCTGCACAGTATTTTCCATCTTGTAGTAGTACCTTTAAGACTAAACTGAAAAAAAATATTGGAAACTTTAAGGGACTTTTTCTGATCCAACTTAAAGGGCCCACATTACGTTATTTTCTAATCTGTTATAATTCCTCATCAAAAATATACTTGCAATTTTGATTTGTTTCACACATGTTTAACACACAAATCCTGCATATTTAGACTGAGTTCTTCTCTCAAACAGAAAACACTCTGTTCTACCTTGTGATGTCATGGATTAATACAGGAAGTGCTTCACTGTTTTTTTTTTGGAGGGGGTTTTTGGACCTTCACTAGAATCATTTGGATAATTTCAGCCTTGGAATTTTCAATTATTACTAAACAAAAGGTAAAAGTTATCTATGTTAACACAAGAATCCAATTTAGAGTAATACAGGATCTTTAACCGCTGTCATGCAAGTTATTCCTTTTAAGCATTTGTAAACAGTTAATTCACATATGCCTATATCAGTAGCATTTTTATTGTATACATCTGGCTCTAGATAAACACATTCGTGCAAGGTTAAGATAAATTTGCAATGTAAGCTTTAGCTCATGATCTAATGCCAATCATATACTAGTAATTAACACACATGGTATAGACTATGCAACATTTAAATAGAGGAGGCCATTTATGATATTGAGAGTGAAATTTTAAAAGTAGAAAGTGACACCAAGTGCAGAGCAGTGTCTCTCTAAATTACAACTGTTCACTTAAATTATTGACATGTCAGAATTGGCTTTCACAGTGGGATGGGTACAGGCCTAGAGGGAGCAAAGGAGGGTTAGTAGTGTAACATTAACTACCCAGCATTAGAATTGCAAATGAATAGGAGGGTTAGGTAGGATTGGCTGGTGTCCTGTTAACAAGGGTTAAGTTTAACTCCTGAAAACCTGTCTGCAGTATTAAAAATAAACACTGCAGTCCATATCCACTGGTTGATTTTACAAATGGGTAATCATAAAATATTATATATCTATATCTATATATATCTATATATCTATCTATCTATATATCTATATCTATATATATATATATATATATATATATATATATATATATATATATATATATATATATATATATATATATATATATATATATATATATATATATATATATATATATACATATATATATATATATACACACACAATATATATACACACACACAATGATGTATACAATATTTCATTTATTTTCGCGTATATTCTTTGTTCTGGGCCCCAATTAGTTCTTACCACAGCAATAACTATTCTTCCACAATGTAAACGGTTTGTCATTTAGTTTGGCTTTTTCTTAGCCTATGCCCCATTGCAGTCGTAACAGTAAAAGTAAAACTTGCAACTGTATAAGAGATTAAACTGAAGTAGCAGCACTTTTATGGGGATTTTAATGTTTATAGAATCTAAAACTGAAATATTTAGTCTGTGAACATGAAGTCCTCTGAACCACTTTTAGCACCAAACCATTCATCCACCTCTAATTTGTCAAAGGAAACATGTTTAAATGACTTAATTGCACAAAATAATGTAGTTGTATTGTAGATTTATAGTCTATTTATTTCCAAATGCCTTTTTGTGGCATTGTGACTCACAGAGCTCAAACCACAAGTATATTCTTACTAATTACTAACTTAGTGTTCTGGTGAACCGCTTGTGCACGACTGTTATACGACCTAGTCTATTTTTCTCTTTATATTTTGTGCAAGTTAATTCATCCATATTTGTTATTGACTTCCTTATATAGAGATCTCTCAGGCTCATGACCTTTATTGTAGACTGCCGCTGAAGTAATGTGCTGTAAAGCACAAAAACTTTATAAAAGACCAGAATGAAACAAGAAGGAAATGTACTAGAAGCGTAGATTTCCAAAGAGGAATAAATAACCCTGAAGACGTTTGTTTGATGCGTTCAATGCTCTTTTTATTTCTTGGTGATTGTGTGCGCTCCATCCTTTTATTACTTACTCTAGGTGCTCTTGTGCAGCCAAGGAGAGATGATAACATTAGATAATGATATTACAATGGCTTTGTGCTGCTCAGTGTTTGCTGTAGGGCTGCCTCATATTAGAATAACGTGCAATATGCAATAACTATGTCTAATATTGTGATGTGATTATTGGTGATATTTAGATACACAAATGTTTATTGAGCAGGCAAAGTAAATGTTCAGTTTGATTTTGAGAAGAGATGCAAGTTTGGAAACTCACTCGTCAAAAGAGAGGTGAAATAAAAACTACTAACCTAGGATATTTTTTAAATAAAATTATGCGATTGGTCTAAGATAGGATTTAAAATGTATCAACCATGAAAGCCTCG